GGGGGGGGGGGGGGGGGGGGGAGTGCCTCCGCCTCCTTTACATCCATTCTCATGTTTATGTAATCAGACTTGTCTCAAACTTGCTTCGGCGTGCGTACAGACAGATGATGATCAACCTCAGGCTGGCGCTTGGCGCCCACACAAAGCTCAGAGATGAACGAAGCCAGGAACACAGCTCAGATTCAAACTTGTCTGGAAACAGCGATGGCGCTGGGCGCCCGACACAGATTCCCGCTCGCAACTGTATCCCCCGGGGGCCAGGTAGACTCACACACGCACGCACTCGGGATCCCCCTGGATGTCCCGAACACACACTCACACTCTGCACACACATGTATTAACATCCCACCTGGCAGCTATGGGCTGTCATCTACCTTCTACCGCTAACTAGCCGCCAGTAGCGGCTATGGCCGCATCTTCCTCTTCTTAGCCCTCTTCTTCCTCGGGCACCTGCAAAACTCCGCACACGAGTAGCACGGCTCACAGGCAGAATGAATGAATGATTGGACGCTGCCTCTTTATTTATAGTTCGGATCTTCGTAGGTCTGCCCTTGGACCCTGGGCCCAGGGTATGCACAGTCCCACATGGTACTTGCTGACTGGACAAAGAGTGACTTGGGACTGGGTACCGCTGACTACCGTAGGCTAGGTAGGACTGGAACTGCCCTTTGCTGACTGTAGTAGGACTGCCCCTCTCTGACTCAGCCGCGGACTGACTCTACGACTCACGAAAAGTTCATTTCCGGAAGGTCGCAGACTTGACCTTTCGGGACTCTAGCAGCTATGACCTATGCCTACCCTACGACCACTAAAACTAAGACCTACGGTTCACAAACCAGATATTAAACTGACCATCAAAAAAAAAAAAGGGAGAAGAAAAGAGGGGGTAAGACCTACGGTTCAAGACCCGGCGATCACAATATATATACAACAGCTACACGTACGACTTTCAGGACACAGGTCGTGGGGTCAAACGCACACGGGTCAACCGGTACTGTACAAGGGTAACTGGGGGGGAGGTTGAGGAATCGAGCCCTGGGTACTGCGGCTGCTATGGCCTACAGTCTCTTCTCTCTCTCTCTCTCTCTCTCTCTCTCTCTCTCTCTCTCTCTCTCTCTATGTGTGTGTGTGTGTGTGCGCCTCCGTCTCCTTAACATCCATTCTGATGTTTATGCTGTATGCCGTACAGTCTCTTCTGTGTGTGTGTGTGTGTGTGTGTGTGTGTGTGTGTGTGTTTCTCCGTACTTAGGAGTATTTCTAAACTGTGATATGTATTAATGAGAGTGGTTGTGGTCCTTGTGGACTCTGATCTGGTGTCCTTCTTTTGTTTTAATTTTTGCATTTTTTTTTAGTTGTCATTACCTGATGTGGTCGTTCTTAGGGGGTGTTTCGGGCCTCCTCGAGCAGGCCCCCCATTGACGGCTCCAATCTGTTGGTGGGGAGCTCCAGATGGACCTGCTGTAGAAAAACGCTTCCAGCGTCCCAGTGATGGGCTCAGAGGCTCAGGGCATACTCACAACAGGACTCGTTCTAGTAAGCTCTGGACGTTATTGCAGTCAGATTCATCCAGGTCTGGCTGTAATTGCAGTGAGGTACACTCAGGAAACTACTGAGTAAGTGAGACTATTCCCGGGAGAAGGATGGGAGAGAGTTGGGCGGGCGAAATTCTTCCCAGGCCGCCGCAGCAGGCTTGCTGTGCTGATGGGGCACCAGCCGCCATAGGTAGGGGACCCGTGGCGTATAGAAGGACACCACGTGGCAAAGAATGTGACACGTGCCAGGCCTCCTGTTACAGGAAGGACGCGCAAGGTACAGCCAGCCAAGGCATAGGGAAGGGAGGACAAATGGCACGAAATGGGCCTCATTGATTGATTGCTTTTTTATTGATTGATTGATTGATTGATTGATTGATTGATTGATTGACAGTTTGATTGGTTGATTGATTGATTGATTGATTGAATGATTGAATGATTGAATGATTGAATGATTGATTGATTGATTGATTGATTGGTGGGGGAGGGGTCCTCCCTCCCCTCCCCGGCACACGCGCGCGCGCGCACACACACACACACACACACACACACACACACACACA